TCTGGGATGGTGCCAGTGCGTTGCATAGCACGTAAGACGCTGGCGAAGAGGCGAAGGATGTCGTCGGGTAACTCCTTAGCCTCCTTAGTAGTCCAGCCGCCAAGTCCCCCCGCACGGCGCGGTAAACGGGTGCGAATAAAGTGGATGAGTTGGTCGTCGGTGAGGTGGAAAGGGGCTGCTGGTGATGGCGTAGGCAGCTCTTGTCGGTACTCGTCGTAGAAGTCAGCCCACGTCGGCATGGCTTCGGCGTCATGACCTGCACGAGCGCGATACCTGCCCAAGATGGGCTCCCAGGTGTCGACCATGAGCTTAAGCAGAGAGAGAGAGAGAGAGCGAAAGAGAGAGAGAGAGAGAGAGAGAGAGAGAGAGAGAGAGAGAGAGAGAGAGAGAGAGAGAGAGCTGAGCGGGTCGCCCTGCTTTGCCCCATGCTGCATCTGGAACTCTCCGTCGGCGCAATGGGTCTTCGCGACGGCTTCCCGGCCCTGGCGCATGCGTCGAAGACCTCGGACGCGTCCTTCGTCGACGCCTTGATCAAGCATCCGACGCGCCCCCATGCGCAGCGCTGTTAAAGGCTTCCTGGAAATCTACCGCGACAGACAAAACAAAGACTTTGTGCTCGCCCGCTGTCTCCCGCCATATTGGGATGGGGAAAAAAAAACGCGCGGCGGGTCGGAGCGGGCGAAAGAACGCCCGGCAATTGCTTTGTTTTTTGCCCGAAACCGGCACGAGTCCGCCGTGCAATAATCAAGCAAACAATTCGCACAGTATAACTATAAAATGCTGATGGGCCTGAAATTATACGGCAGTTTCGCGCTCCCACTTCTGCAGATGTCCTTGACCATGGCGCGCTTCCACTCTGCTGGCGCTGGGCTTCCAAGATAAGGATATCGCTGCGCAACGTGGGAACAATCTCCCCGATGCCCTTGCCGTCCGCTGCGCTGCCATTCTTCATCGATGTCAATGCCGCCTGTAGCTCTTGCGTAGAGAACACATTCGCGTCGACGCCGCAAAAGCCCCGCCCCCCCCGGGCTCTTCGCCCCTGGCGTCGCAATTCGATTCGGAAGACAACTTGCCGTACAAATAAACACACGCGTCGACGATCTCTTGTCTCCCCCGCGCAGCCCCCCCCCCCCCCCCACCCCCACTCTCATGCAACGCCTGGAACGAAGCCCTGCGATCTCTGCAGCTCGACGCCGGAGATCTCCAAGTTGCGAAACTCCGAAAACATGTTGTAGATCTCCGATCGGCGCTGTTCTCTCTTCGCGTTCCGGACCTCGTCTCGGATATCTCCGTTGAGAGCTCGCCTTGCCGCGGGGTCGCCTGCGTCGGTCTCGCGTTTCTTCTTCGGCAAAGAACCCAACGAACCGCCATCGCACTGAATTGCGCTCGATCGCGGGGCGCTGGAGCCGGCCATGGCCACGCATTCTAATGCTATAATTTCTAGTTGGTCGCAACGGGGATGTCTGCCCCCTATCGCGCCGCGTAAAAAATCACGAGCTTGCTCTTCGATGCTGGATTGGTATACTTCCCACCTCTGCGGCGGCCGTCGCGCCGGCTTCGCGACGGCGTTCTTCTTCTGCTTCTTGTGGGCATCCGTCTTGCGCGTCTCCTTCCGCGGGGCAGCGCCCCGCGCCCGCGCCGCAGCGCGGTCGGGTCCGAGATCTGCAATCCCCGTCCTCCCCACGTCCTTGAATGTTTTTCAAACGCGGCGACTCACCAACAAATAATCGATCTGCTCCTTCGCGCGGCCAGGCTCGCGGCGCGCGCAGCGGCGCCAGCGTTGTCTCTTGAAAGATGCGCCCGTGACTTTGGATTCGCGGGCCGCCGTCCATCGCGGAACCCACTGCCCCCCGCGCATCCGCCAAGCCATTCTCAAATGGGCCCGCGCCGCTGGAATTGCCATACGTTGCCTGGCCCCCTTGAGAGTTGCACTTCGCTCCGATGATGGAGCGATTTGTCCGACGCCCCGCCTCGCCATGAATTTATTTCAGCATGTTGCGCATTGCCTGCGCATGGAGACGCGCGCAACCCCTGCGGGGGGAATGCGCCGCAACCAATATTAGCCGAAACCCTGGGCGATGAACATCAACATGCGCAACTCGTTCCGATGTAATCTCACATTTAGAAATGCCTGTGCCTCACCTCTTGCGAGCCGGCATTGCAGCTCCCCCAGTTGGTTTGGCACTCCCTGCTGCCATAAGGATGCGCCCGCCTTCGGTTCGCCCAGCGCTCCTTTGGAATCGCCCTAATGGTTTCGTCGACGGCAATAAAAGCCCACCTCGTGCATCTAAAGTCTTTCAAAAGCTCGCATGATCCGTCGCCATCCGTCATCCCCGATGCGCTCTCGCGGAACAGCGCGAGGTCGAAGTCTGCGGCGACGTCGGCATGATCGGAGCCCGCCCGATCCGTCGCCCGCTCCTCGGCGACGTTGGCGGGCGAGCCCTGAGACGCACGCGGAGAAGATCCTCGGGGGGAATCTCCATTTTCGAATCTGCATGTCCCCTGGCCCCCCCCCCAGGCGGGCGACTGGCCCCCGCGTCTTCCGGGGCCCCATGGCGCTCTGATTCAAGGATGGGCAACGATGCGAATGTGGACGCATTTTCCATCATTGCGCACGCCCCTTCCGGCGCAGGATTCGGCGAAACAGAAACTGCATGGGCAGCCGCGGGGGCGCGCGGGGGCGCGGGGGAAGCGACCGGAATAGCGCGTGCCCCAAACCCACGGTTTACAGCAAACCGCCCAAAGCCCAAAAAATCGCGCGCCCAAGGGCGAGATGTCTGCGTAGCGGCACTCGCGCGCGGCCCCGGCGCTGAGGCCGTCGCTTCTCGCGCTTCCCCCCCCCCATTCCCTCGTGAACTGCGCCGCTGTCTCATGTGCTTCGTCTCCGACTCCGCAGGGTCTCTAACTCCCCATCCCCGCCCATTCTCCCCGCCCCCGCCATTTGACGTCGAAGACGCCCGCGCCCCCGTAGATGCGAACGTCACTTTGTTTATGCCCCTTGTTCATCAATGTGCGCCTTACCTGCCCCGACGTCTTGTCGATAACCCGTTTTTCGTGTGCGTCGCTGGCTGTGAACCACACCTTTTCTCCACAGGCCCAGTTTATCTCCTGGCCGCGCATTCCCCTCAGGACTCACATGTTCGCCGCCTTGGCCCCGAAGGTAATGATGCATATCTTCGACGGGTCAATGAGAGTAGATAGGTTGGACGTATTTTATTTCATGATATGATCATCGACTATCGGTTGCATTTGTTTGATGATGTTCTCTTCCTCCTCGTCCTCCTTCAACCCACCAGCAATCACCTGCAGGCCCCTTTCTCCAGCGCGTTCGACGTTTTGTGGATGTATTGGGGGCTTCTCATGGCTGCTCAAGGCTTCCTGGGTCTTCGCGCCGAGGATGGTCCCCAGCTCGCTTTTGAAGTCAAGCTTTGGGACGTAAAGGTCCAGGTCGCCCTTCAAATTGTCTACCTGCATTGCATTTCACGGTCGCGCATTGCGTCGTCCATACTCTGCTCCAACATAATGTATGCATGTGTTGCGTCATGTGCCTCATCCTTCGTTAAATGGATCATGTCTTAAACATCGGTGAGGTCCGTCTCGAAATCCCCGAAACGTTCCGCAACTCTCATTTTTTTTAAAAATAAATATATATATATATATATATATATATATATATATATATATATATATATATAAAAAAAAAAAAAAAAAAAAAAAAAAAAAAAAAAAAAAAAAAAAAAAAAAAAAAAAAAAAAAAAAAAAACATGGCGGCGCTGCGCTCAGATAGTATCCCGCCGGTGTGGCAGCGACCATCAAAGCATCATCATCATCCTAGTTCGGCTTCTGTTTTTGGGAGTGGGCCCGGAACACTGAACAGCTCGTTCCGACATCCGTGCCCAGCTCGGCGCCACGAGCGTGCACGAGAACGTGGTGGGTTTATACGAATGGGAGTCCAAATTGGTTACAGCAGCTTGACTAAAAACAAATAGCAAAAAAAACACCTCATTTTAACAGCAACAGGCGCCGCAAACCCTTTGTTGGAGGGGATAAACGGCGCAGCAAAAGAGAGCGAGGGGAACGTTGGCACTGAGTGTTCGTTTCATCTCACACGGCCCTCGTGTCTCCACCAGACTGTATAGTTTCGGCGATGTCTGTACCATGCTCCGAAACGTCAGATTGACGGTGGAAGTCTGTCCGAACGTGTTCATTCAAAATGTTGAAGTGTTCCTCGCAATACATGTTGCGACTGATGGTCGAAATCATAAGGGCTTCCATGTTGTATCTCATCTGAAACATCGTGAATGCCTCATCGTCGTAAACCGTCCTGGCGCCCATGGTAACAATGCGGTCGAACATGATTTCGCGATCGGTTTTGAAGTCGGTGATCCCACCTGAAACCTCCGTTGTCTTAACCGGCGTTGCACATTTCCGTTAACCGATTCGTGCAAATTTTGTACCAGGCCTCTCGGACATCAGGGAAGGTTACATTGTAACCCAGGTCGTGGTTGCAAGGGTCCATTTGGGTCGTTCCAGCGGCCGCCGCTTCCATCTATGCACTGACCCCGTGAGTTAAAAACGAACCCCGCTACTATGAAAATCAGGTTGGAACGTTTTTGCTGAGCAGGCAACAGCGTTGGAGTCGAACAGTTGCGGCCCATAACTAACATGCACCACTTGAACTCCGAAACAGTGCTGCTCACCCAGACGCATGGCCATGTTCTAACACCTCCTCCACCACTTCCTCCTCCTCATCCTTTTCTACCGTTAGGTCCTCCTCCATCCTTCGTGGGGTACGACGGCTTCCCAGCCTTTACTCCACTGCGTGTTCCCCCGCATGCCTGACCTGGGCAACTCGTGTGAGCATCGTTTCTGGATGGGCTGGTGGGGTCACGCGAAGCGTCTCTGGTCGCTGGATGGGCCGATGGGAACACGCGAAGCGATCAGGGCTGCTGCCCCCGCCACTCCCACCCCCACCCCCACACGCGACGAAGCCAAGCCGCCTCGAAGGCCGCAAATCCGCCATCTCCCGCCACCTCTCCACGCACTCGTCCGTCAGGCTCAGCTTGTCGGCGTAGTAAAGGGCCTCGAGCAGCCCAGCCGCGTCCCGTGCAGCCTCGGCCTCTCGGGGAGAGGCTCGGGGTGCACAGTGCGCCCCCTGTTGACAAAACGAAGTACGAACGAGAACGGCCCAAAACGCGACACGGCGGGTGAAGGCCCTGTCGAGAATCAGAAAAGAAAGGGTTTCTAGTCGACTTGGCAGGGTGAGGGATTGCTTGTAATGCATCAGCGCCGCGCGGCGCATGGATGCCGCCACCCTTCAGGGCGCGGGGGGGGACTGGTCCAACGCGTCCCACAAGCATGAAGCAGCGACGGGGCCTGCAGGTCGTCTTAAACGCTTTCGACTCCAAGGACGAGGAGCAAGAGGACGAGGAACAGGAAAGGAGGAAGACGAAAAGGACGGCGCGCTTCGAACAATATCAGAGAGGGACAAATCCTGAGCCGCCCACTTCGCACACCCGCGCTGCGCGAGGCCACGGGCGGGGTTGTTCCTCCGCGCCCTCGCGCGGCCTGCCCGCGCAGCGGAAAAAAAGAGGGCAGCCTTGCGACAGAAGCCGCAAAACGCGAGGCGCGGCCATCTTCGCGCCCCTGCAGGGCGATCCAAGAAAGCGGGATCGTCGATTCGGGGGCCTTCCCAGAGCCACTCGCTCCACTCACGCGCCGATGCTGCGTCGAACGTCAACCATGGGCCAGACTTGAGTCAAGCTAGGGTCGAACTACCGTCGAACTAAGTTCGAGCCAGAGTCGAACAGGTCTTCTAGGTGGGCCCCAAAAGTCCCCCCACAAAAAAAAGAAAACGAAAACACCCACTGCCGCCCGATCTGGGCCCCGATCTTCGTGGAGATCGACGCGAGGACTGGCCGCGAGGTCCACAAAGACTGGCGCCCCGAATCTGGGTGGGCGGGGGGCCAAGTGGCGGTTCTAGTCTTTCGCCTGGACATTCATAATCCCTGCAACATGTCCCGATGATGTCTCATTGTCAGTGGGCTCCGCAGATGGAATGGGCAAGAAAAGGTAACGCCGTCAAGCATGCACTAGGTAACACTGAAGGGAGGAGGCCGGCCCGCCAGCCGACGCACGCGCGCGCCGCAGGCTCGCTCCTTTCCCGCTTCCTTAAAGCCAAGTACATAGCTCCGGAGACGCGGGTCAAGAAGGAAGAGCAGAAGCAGCAAACAGCGCAGGCGCAGGCAAGTCGAGTGAGACGGGCAGGAACCTGGTGGCGCGGAGGGGTGCATTGACTCCCCCCGCGGCGGGATCCGTAGAGCCGCCCCGACCCCCAGGCCCACCTGGCCCGTGCACATGTACAACCACCGGACCGAAACCCCACAAGAAAAATTATACCGCTCAACGGCGGGTGCCAGGGGGCGGCAGGCCGAAGAAGCCCAGCGTTTCCCGCGTGAGCGAATGCGCGCAGCTCAGGTCTCAATGCCCGCGCACACCTAGTGCACCCGCTCCACGAAGTAGTACGATCCAGCAACGACTGTGTCGCGCCGGCGCAGCAGTTCATCTGCATCATCTCCAGCGGCCTCTCCGTTCACGAGAGTCATCCCAGCGCCACTGGCTCTGGCCCCTGGAGGAGCTGTCCTCTCTGCCTCTTGAGCTCCAGTCACTTGACTCACTCTTGCCCTGGCCCTTCTCCGACGAACTCGCCTTCGGCGCAGGCGGAGGTGGCGGCGCGCGGGCAGGTTACTTGGTGATCCACAAGAGCGTTGGAACTTGTCATTATATTCATCAAAGCTAAACCATTGCCGCGTTTTGCTTTGGCCGGTGACTTGCTGGTGTCGAGATGCATGCGCGTAGAATCCTCGGATTTCTGCAGTCTCGTTCTTGTCTTCGTAGTCTACGGTCGCATCGTAGACGCCGCCCCCGACCGGCCCGGGGCCGTCGCCATCGCGCGCGAGGCTGCCAACCGGCAGAGTGGCCCGTCTTCGGGGCATGAGTTCCTCAATCCTGCACTCGCCCGCCCGCGATCGAACTCGGGCGGGGCCAACCCAGCCAGTCTCGTGGCCTGACGCGGCTGCGCCGGCAGACGCAGGCGAATAGGGAGCGGCCCGATGGGACTGCTTTCCGCGCAAGAACCGCGGCCGCGAAGGCGGGCGGGGGCGTCGCCGAGCCCGCTGCCCCGAGGCGGCGGTGCCGCTCGGGGCAATGCCTTCAGCAACTCGGGCTGCAGCGCCTGCCGGCGACTCAGCTGGGACTGTCTCGCTTAGAGAGTCAGCTGCACCGCTCTCCCCCTGTTCTTTTCCAGGAGATTTATGATCCCAATAGCGCCGTCGGCATTGAAGACCCCAAAGAGGCTGTTAGCACGACAAATCTCGGCACTAATATGAGGTTCCGTCGGCGTACACATGAAGACATTGGCCTCATGAATGCCTGGGCAATAGTGTCGCACGGTCATTGATACCTCGTTTCCGAATCCATCAAGCGAATTGCGAAGCAAAGAATGTTTCGATTGCAACTCGAGTCCGGCAATCCAAAGCGCGAGCATTCTGCAGGCGTGCATCCGATTGCGGATTACGCTGCGCCTCACACCCGGGAAACGCAATAGGAATTTCCGCGGACAAAAACGATAATATGACCTCACGCACAGCTGGCATGATGCGCCCCCATCTTCCATGAGTAGGGATATGGTCGAACGGTTGGTCATAAACTCGCTATACGGATTTGTGCAATCCCAGCGGTACAGCATGAAGTACGCCCGTATCCAGTGGTTTCGTAGTTGGGCCAACCAATAAATATTCATGAATAAGTTGTGTTGCCACTTGGAGGACATCTGGTCTTTGGCACGTTGCGTTGTCGTAAGTGTAACCACACATGCTGCCAGACACGGAAAGCAAGTCGAGCCAGAAGGGCAGAGCTCCACTCGAAACAGTCATTGGATGTCGCTGTGCGATATGATTATTAAATACGCCATTCGACATCTCAGCCATCCGTTCAAGTTCTGAGATTACGTCATCACTGCGGCTTGGCCGGTGATGAAGTCCGGCAACGCATCGGAAATCAATGTTTCCTATCTGATTCGACGCGGATGCTCGGTCCGCTGGGTTCAAATTATCCGTCAGCACCGGCCTAGATGGAATAACGAATCCGATGTCCTCCATCTGTCGTTCCCAGTGGGCCCTGCCCGCCTCTGGTTGGATTGGATCTGCACTAACCTGTTCCCAATCGAAAACGGCAAGTGCAAGGCATTTCATAAGGCGAGCATACTGGTCCAGATCGGGCGTCCAGATCAATGGCCACCAGTGGGCGGCCGCGGGGCGATCGCCCCCATGCTTGTGCTTCAGCCAATCAACGAATCTAAGCTTAAGAGGTTCAAGATACTGGAAGAAAGGCTCGCGACGCGCCGGCGGCAGTGCCGAGGCGCTGTCAGGACGCCAGGTTGCAGCAGCCCCCGGCATCGAAGCCATGAAAGTCCCGCCCGCCGATGCCACTTTGGTACGAACTTGCTCCTTATAAACCCATTGGCGCTGATGCTGTTCGACCTTGCTCAAGTTATCCAAAGCATGAGCGGAGCTCTTGCTCATTGTTTCATTCTATTAGCAACGATATTATATATTGCCCCCCCCCTTGGGGCATTGCCAAGACGTGGATTCAGGCCTAATGTCGCCCATGCAGCAACCAATGCATCTTCTGCAGGCGCTTGTAAGTAATTCGCTCTGACGTGTGTTTTGGCGGTGCCCTCAGCCTGATATACCCTGGGGGGTGGAGACCCACCGTCCCTCCGCTGGTTGAGCCAGCGAGGAACGCACTGAGCATGTTCCGCAAGAAACTCGCGCTTCGTTGGTATCAACCTGAGAATTCCGTATCCAAGTGCTTTCCACAATCCACTGAACTTGCTTGGGTACTTGATGACCCCTTTTCCCAATGTTGATTCCTTATGGTTTCCAAGGGCGGAATGTGCAACTAGTGTCCACGGCGCCGTGCCATTCCAAAACTGCCAGGAGCATACACACGCTCTATGATGTGAGCAAAACACGAATGTCCCTGACACGAACGAAAGAACAATGGCATGGGCTTGGTAGCCCGTTCAGCTCTGCCGATAATGATGACGAGGTTGTCGCGTTCCTCATCAGCGACGGCGTCGCGCGGGGCGTCTGGGTTCAGGAAAGAGTTCCACTGCTCGTGTATATGTGCCCCCTCAAGAATCAAAATCTCACCAGCTCGAACGCCTAGAACTTCCGCTTCTCCTGATGGCAACAGTGCGAGGGCGTGCATTGCAAGAGCCGTAGTGGCGCGTGTGATACCATCGTTCGTCATCTTCTGAATGAGGTCGCCCACGTGCACCCGCCCGCCCGATGACCGGGCGTGCCCTGCGCAATGTCTCGCCATGTACACCGCAAACTCGCCTACAGCTAACGCTTGAGGGTGTTCTCGGTGCCTGCATTTTCACCAGACATCCGAACTTCCTAGCATGACAGTCCCGCGACTATTTTTCGACAGCTTTGCATCTGCTTCCTCGGCTGCGCCCGTAGCGTCATTCGGCAGCACCAGGGGAATGAGTGCATTGTAGACCTCCTGGGGAATGGAGTCTGGCCTATCATCCGAGTCAAATTCTGTTTTGAGGAATTTGAGCGCTTGGTCGAACCTTTCTGCTTCTATCTCTCCGAGCATTGCAAGTATGGCATATTGTACCGTGCGCGCGTTATCTTAAATCGTACTATAGGCACGCCCACGGACGGCTGTAATGCGGAGGCACTGGACCAGCCACGTGGGCTTCAGTGACCAAGTTTCGCACATCATCGCTCGTGCTATCCCGAACGTTCTCGCGCTGCTGTGGGGCAGAATACAAAGGTCCTCAATCAACAGTCAATGTCGCGCGACTGACATTCCTAACTCTACCTGGAGGGCCCTGCCCCTCAGGACGGCGTTGTTTATGATCAGGCGTCGGCGGGAGACTCACGCGCATAAGCTAATTCGTGACTCCTGGACTCACGTCAGCATCCACGTCCTCGCCGAACAGCAAATGCGACCTCACCCCTGCAGAGGGGATCCTATATCTATTATCCTGCGGACCAGCTGCTCGTACATCACCGCCCTCCTCCGCCCTTGCTGCAGGCGACACGTCGTTGTCTGTCGGGAGGGCCACCATCAACCACATTGGTCCGTGCTCCTCCTCCCTCGCCGACATTCGCCCCGACTGCGCCGGTCAACGACATAAGGTCGACGCTCATTCTGACGCTGGAGACGCCCACCGTAGGAATGCTGAGTGGCGGGGGCGGAAGAAACTGCGCAAACAATGCCCCATTTTTATATGGCAACGAGTACTCAGAGGGTTCATTCCTCTTTTCTCTTGCCTGGTTCAGATACCGATGCGCCCATGTCAATATGTCCTCTTTCAGACAAGTCACCTCTCCAACAGCGAGCCCCAGAACCTCGTCAAGACGTGAGCGACCGGGGCGAACTTGACGCAGCCGCATGAGTTCATTGCGAAGTGACAAATGCGCTCGGCTTGATCAGGGTCCGACATGTATGGCTAGAAGAGTTCTCACCACTTTAACAACTTCTGACACAGGATAGTCGATCGGGAGGTCATATGGAGGCAACGACAAGTCCATATTATACAGATCATCTACTACATCACCCTCTCCAAGCTTTTCAGGAGAAGGTTCGGGAGATTCAAACTCAAGAGTACTAAGTGATTCTGAAGCATATATTCTGACAGATTTCAAATCAGCTTCGGCCCTGACGGGTTGCTTAAGCCGTGCCTCTGACGGAGAACCCGGCTCCTCTTCATTGCGTTGGGGATCGAAGCGTGGTGGGCCCCTTGGAGGAGGCGTCGGAGGTGCCGGCAGATCCTTCGAGCTTCCAGCGCCCGGTGCGTCTGCTTTTGCCGGAGGTGGGTCATCCCTCAAAGAAGGCTTCCATGTGTTGAATATACCTGCTGGCGGCGCCTTCGCCTCTCTCTCTTTGGCCTCTGATCAGCGTCACGCGGCTTGGCCGCTGACTTCGGAGCAGGCGCAGGAGGGGGCGGAGGCGGCTTCAACACATTGCCTGACAACGGCCCCCAAAGATTTCTGCCCCCTGGCGGCGGCGCCGCAGGGGGACACGCCCCCTTCCTGAGAGTCGTCATCCGACCCAAGAGCCGCCATTTCCCCGTGGCCTTAGGAATCGGGGGCACAGGAGGTCCAGCAGTTTTGGCACGCGGATGTTTAAGTTCCTGAGGGCCCTGAAAACGCGGAGGCGGCTTAGCCGCGCGAAGAGCAGACGCGCCCGCTGGCTGCGCCGGCGTGGCGGCTTGGCCTTGGCCTCTTTTTGTCCGTGAGCCGTCTCCTTTCCCATCTCCTCCGCTCCGTCTAGGAACGGGCGTTCGAAGTCAAGCTCGCAACCTGCGCTCTCCAAGTAGCCCCACACATTCTCCATCGAAGGGTCATGCTCAAGATATGGTGAAGCATTTTCTTGCCAATCGATCGGTGAAAGATAGGGAACCATTGGCCTTGCTCTA